GCTGTGAACAGTCTCAGTCTCTTCACCATCCATCCTGATGCTGCCAATTGGTCCAGTGGTGAGAATCTTTGTCTTCTTGATATGGAGCCTCAGTCCATACTGAAGGCTGCAGTCTTTGACCCTCTGCAGCAAGCGCTTCAGGTCCTCCTCACTTTCCGCAAGCAGGATTGTGTCAGCTCCTTCTAAAAAGTAAAAGCCTTATCAGTAGCAAAGCAACATTATCAGAGTAGTAGAAACAAAATTACAAAATTTTTCTCAAGGTTTTTTCCCCCTTTGTTTTCAAATGTTTAGGTATGCTATTGCATTAGCCTTAAGGGAAAAACAGCGTGTGATATTTACCAGTCCAATTAAGGCTCTGAGTAACCAGAAGTACCGTGAAATGTATGAAGAATTTCAAGATGTTGGTCTGATGACTGGAGATGTTACTATTAATCCAACCGCATCTTGTCTTGTCATGACCACAGAGGTAAGTTATATCACACCTCTTTTCCGGTTTTTAATTTAATTATTCATTTAGAGTGTCGAGTATTTTTTCTTTGGCTCTACATGGTTAAATCTTATGCTTTACTTTGAGAATAGATTTACTTGAAAAAAGTTCATTTTTAAACTGTTTTAGCAACTAAATACATTTATTTCTAAAATGCCAGTAGTTCTGTTACTTACAGGTGATGAAAATTTTTTTTATAAAATATTTTTAAATGCTTGTCCGCTACTGGCAATACCACTGTTTTGATGTCTTTGTAAACTTAGATTCAAGGGTATGGATATATAGTTTTCTATACAAATAGATTAGCAACAGACTTTTAAAAAAATGCCCTGTTACGTTTGCTTTTTCTGTAGTGATAAGTTTCATATATAACTATAAAATCTTACTTTTGGACATGATTGGCTTTATTAAACTAATTTCTCTGTACTTAGTGAAGTTTTATCTAAGGAGAGAATGCACTAGAAAGAACTTTTCCTTTGGTGAGTTAGCCAGAAGTATTGCTCATTTTTTGTTTTGATACCCAAAGTAAGTTTATTACCCGTTTTCAAAACTTTATTTCATTGGTACATGATTTCCTTAAAACTGCAGAAAGTCAGTGTAACAAGTGCCAGGAAACCTGTGTATTATGAGTTAATGCCAGCAGAAAAAGTGAGGAAGCAGTATGAGTCACTCTCAAGTTGATTCTCATTATCTGCCATGTTTGGAAATTGCTGGTTTGAGCTGAAGATAATTTTAGCTTGAGATTGTATTAGTGTTGGGCATGGAAAGTAACTTTAATTGGAGAGACCCAAATAGTAGAGGTTATACTAGTCCTGGCTTTGGGTTGTAGCCCATTTCTAACTATTGAGAATTCATTTGCTTTAGTTTTATGAGAGAGAGGAATATTACTTGATTTATATAATGGTTCAGAGGTAGAATTCTCAGTCTTCTGTGTGGAAAACTCAGATTTGATTCTTAGCCAGTGTACTTCACGTGCAGCCATCAATCAGCAGTGTTACTATTGATTTGATTCTGAATAGTTTCCAGTGGAGCTTTCAACTAAGATTAGGAAGAAAGGCCTGGCATTCTGTTTCTAAAAATTGTTGTTGTTGTTGTTATGTGCCGTCGAGTCGTTTGCGACTCATAGCGACCCA